AACGAGTTGCACAAACAGTTTTCCTGGTGCCAGGCAAGAGAAATATGACTGGCATTTCCTTGTTGCTAAATTACAATAAATGAGAGATATTTCACCAAATGATGTGGTTCAATGTCCTGTTAACAGTTAAACTGATAATTGAAATACAACAGGCCTCGCATATATGACAGATAAATCGTTTTTGCGAAGTCCTACAACATTTTTGTTACTAGACGTGATCGGGGCTTTGCGATTCGGTTCGTTATATGTACTAAGGTACTGGTATACTGTATATATGTTTTTAAAACTGCGGTGATGACCAATTTACATCAGAATTGCGAAGAAAAATTGAAACATTTCCAGTGGAATTATCTTACAGATGAAGGAGGAAAAGAGGTCGAAGAAAACGAAGCAATGGAGCTGAGAATGGAAATGGCAGCAATGAAGAAACTTGGTCAGTGTCGCTCATACAAAGAAAAGAAATAAAACATAAACGAGTCATTATACACGAGTTTCTGCATTGCACTTGCATGATTGAGCTTGAAAGTAATAACGAATAAACTAATTTAAATAAAGAAAAAATAACTACGATTTATAATGAAGATGATACGAGTTGCTTCCCCATAATTCGGATTTAAGGCAAAACACGTAACCTAATTTTTCTTATATACCTGTGTAGCTGTGGTGAAAAATAAGATGTTCATGTTGCACGCACACACACACACACACACAGTGTGTGAGCACACTCAAACACACGCTGTTGTGAACATTGAAAATCTTGATGTTACAGGTCTTACCATGGATCCAAGAGAGCTGCAGAGGGAGTTGATGGAGGAAGGCCAGGAGTCCAGTGACACCAATGCTGGTCTTGGACCTGCATACCCATAGTGACCCTCCTGAACACCTTCTCCTATCTAGTGGGATGCCTCCCACTGAATTTTTTACAAACCGAAACTTTTCTTTGACAATAAATTGTTTTTTTTTTTTTTTGTAGTTTGCAATTCATGTTTTTTTTTTCAAAATTGACAGAACAATTAAGAGTTCAAACAATAAAGAGTTCAAACAAAAATATGTTATCTTATTTTTAATGAGTATGTTGAACTTTTGTCATAAGCTAACTGCTTAGATTTTCTTTCGTGTAAATATCTTGACGTAAAGTTAGCCCCAGCATAGGCATAAAGGTTAAACTTGAAGTTCCCATTTTAAATTAATCTAAAGAACCTGGGCTACAGATTGATTTTGCACTAGATATTTACAGACAATTCCTTTGGGTACCTCTGTGCACATTTTTGTACTGTGACCAGTAGGAATTTTTGCCCAGAATTGACATTATCACTCAGCTATACTCTGGTAGAGAGAGTTATTATACAGGCATAATGTTCCTAGCTCTACATTTAAACAGATAATTTTCAATAGTTCTTTGAAAACATTACCTCAATATACTAAACTTAGCTTCATGATTTTAAAATAAAATCAGTGGATACAATATGCAACCATATCATGCATTACTGTTTGCCCTTCACAACCTTGATATACCTTTGTAGTCAAAACACCAAAAACATAATATGCTTATCAAAATTAACAATTTCTTGGTGAAAAATCAATTTCAGGCAGGCAAAGCCAACAAGTTAAAACTTTCTATTAAAAATTGCACAAGATACTATAATTCACCATACTTTCATCATACTTGGTCCAATGAAACAGTGTTCTGTTATTAACATTATACCACTGCTGGACAAAATTGGAGGAGTTAAGTATATTGTTCATGAAAGGTGACACAGTGCAAACTAAAAATCACTCATCTTCAGTGAAATATCATAATTAACAATCTCTCTTTCTCTTACTTCAGTATTCTCTCTCTCTCTCTCTCTCTCTCTCCTCTCTCATGCACACAAACACAAAATAGTGGGTATCATAAAACATACACATACAGCCACTGTTTATGGCAATGTCAAAGCAATGGATAAGGCTAATAATCTGAATCCTTGATGCACTGTTCAACTAGCTCTTTCAAGTTTGGGTTCTCCATCGCTGCTGCTACTCTCTCCTTGTCATTAATCTGCTTCATTGCTGGAAGAGAGCACAATCAATGTCATCAAAAACAGGGGCGTAACCAGACCTTTAAAAATTGTACGCACAGATTTTTAAAATTCCCAGCAAAATGTAGACTAACGCAACAGATGAAGGACAGCGTATTCACAGCATATGTACCACACATCGCAGCTTAATTTCCATTAATAATAAAATCATCATTTAGTCAGAAATATTCTCGCAATTAAGAAAGTTTCAATATTCTTATTACCCAGAACGGTATATTTGTATAAAAGGGGGCTAGCTTCGCATATGTGGAACCCCCCTTCGAATAATCCTGGATCCACCTCTGAGTTGAACTAACATACGGTTTCATTCACCTTACATGTGGATGCATGGCTCCCAAAAACAACCAATTGTACGACACTCCAGAGCTCTGATACATTTAAGTTTAATTATTTNGTGCCTATATAATTGATACAGAGGATTTGTGCATACAGGTGACTTTAATAAGCAGAGGATTTTCTTTTATATTCCGTGAAAAATACACTAAATTTATATAAAATAATATCATGGTTGGCCAAAAAATTGTACGCACAGTGCATCCGTGCGTATGCCTAGTTACGCCCATGAAAAATGTCACATCTAACACAATCTGCTGTATTCTGGCATCAGTCACTGACACAATATATGTACTAATTACAAGACCAAAGCTTGAATAAAGCAAACACTGCACAGCATAACACAAATGTATTCAATAAAGAGAAGTTTTCTAAATATCTTAAATTTATCTTCTGCGAAAAACAAGCGAAGAAAGTTAGGACTTACTGTCTTCTCTTGTGGAATGAGAGCCTTCAGTTATTACTATGTCCAACTGTAATAATGATATTAATAATTAAAAAAAATAATAATGGTGGTAAAAATCTAAAAAAATATCACTGATCTTGCCAAATTGCAGATTGACGTTTAAACAAACAAACAAAAAATCTATTAGCCATTAGAAATTAGTTTCTAAAACTGACATTTAAAATATTAAAATACCTTATGTTTATATGGCAGTGACCTCTCAAGTTTTACTCTGATGCAAAGTCCTGAAATCAAAATTTGTGTAAGTAATTTTAATTTACACTATAAGGACAGCAGTGCAGTTTTTTTATATAGGTTAATATATATACTGACATTTGATAGGTAATCCATTGTTTATTCACTTACTTAGGAATAGTAAAAACTGTATGAATAAAAAGTTTAATGAAGGAAAATTTTGAATGAGATGGCATTTTGTTTAACATGAATACTGAATTACATCAACTGGTAGTCAAACAAGTTACATTTTTCAATGATATGGTCAAAAACTTGAAAGAAGATTGACAGCCATCTTCAAACTGAAGAGCGGTTGGTAAATGACACACGCACACACCCACACACACAATTATATAGTTAAAAATTAAAATGCCTACAAAAAGAAAAAACATTGAAATTTAATAAAATTGGCAAACAATCTACAAAACTGTATTACAACTGCAGGATATGACCAATAACACTCTTTAGCATGTGTTGCCCTCAAGGTACATGTACAAAGGTATACCTATAAGTGTTGCAAGGGAGCACTGAGGCACAGTTGGAGTAAACTGAATTCTTATCAGGTAAGTCTCATTGTTATGAAATGGCTCCACTGTGATTCCCTCCTCTGTTACAACATTCAACTCTTCCAAGGTCTCTGGTTTCTCAGGATCATGAATGTCTTTGATGATATCTGTAAATGCAATAATTAGTTACTAATTATTTTCCTAGAGTCTAAAAACAGAAGTACCTTTTGTCCTGCCCTGGTAACAGCATATGTGCAATATGCCCGAACCTTAAACACATACAAGAATTTTGATTTTTGATGTTGGTTTTCTAAATTCAGTTTAATTTTGGATGTTTTTGAAAATCCATATGTTACTTTTTTATTTGTTTGTACCAATTTTTTTATGTTAACCAAATGAAAGAGAATTCCCATTAGATATTTGATGAGGATTGAAGTTTTTTTTTTTTTTTGTAAAAACTTATAAATATCATTAATCTAATTTCCTTTGTAATTCATGTGAATGACAGAGACATTGATCAAAGTTACTGTACCAAATTTTAAAAGAAAAGCATGGAAATCAATAGCTTAGAAGGTTATAATATGCTGTATAAACTACATGCAGCACAAAGATAAGTTACAATCATCAGCAATTTGTGCATTCACTGTGGCGTAGCTTACTTGTAAACCATTATTAGTCGTTAACTTCGTTAACTACTCAGTAAAACCAGTAAATATCTTGTTTGGCATTTGTCTGCGGCATATGGAATGATACATTATTAGATTCACTGCGGCAATGTCAAACATGTAACATGCAACTGATGAACCTTGATAATGATACGATCATTTTAATCTTTTTTTTTTTTTTTGTAATTTTCACCCTGATAAGGTGATAGCCTTACCGTACACATCTTCAGCCAGTCCAACCAAATCCAATGCTTCTATACCCTTTTCCGCACCACTAACATCAATCAAAGCACTAGACATCGTCCTACATTTTAATTGATAAAAAATCAAAGTAATTACTGTAGAAGTGACTCTATAGGATACCTTCGAAATCGCTCTTCTTTGTTTGAAGGTATTATATGGTGTGTTGTCATTTTCAAATCTCCAAACTGTAAAGAGTAGACGCAGACAAGAGCAGAATGAGTCTTTTACCTGATCAATCGACAGGTGAAAACTCCAACCTCTCAAGCATTTCTGCATCTCGTCAGTCGGAGTCCGGGTCTTCAACAGCAGGAGGTTTTGACGCCAATACACTGGTGGGTTGATGTAATATTGGAAATGAGAAACTTGATGCATCAATCCACGCGTGGATGTCACCTTGATTGGTTAATGAAAACCTGGTTAATGAACCTAAAAACCACAGAAAACGACATTAGAATTTCATTTTAGTCTACCATAACTTAAAAA